GCAATGGAAAATAAGTTTGAAAGAACTGCACAAAATGAAGCCCAGAGAGATAAGTGGAAAATAAATAAGAGAGATTCCCAGATATGGAGAGAAAATTGGAAGTCATAATGAACATTTGGTTGGAATTTCATAAAAACATAATAGAGATGATTAAGAAGAGAACAATATTCAAAGAGATAATGACTGAGAAAACGTCAGATTTATTGAGAAACATTGGTATTCAAATTCACAAAGGCCAAAAATTTTCAAAAAGGCAGAACCACAACAATGACAATCTAGATCAAGACAAATTATAGTGAAAATTCAGAACACCAAAGACAAAAAGATCATGAAAGCAACCAGGAAAAATAGACACACTTTCACAGAAGAATGACCATTAATTAGACTGATGGCTGACTTTCAACGGCAACACTAAAAGTCATAAAACCTTGCAACAGCCCTTACACAGTGCTGAGGGAAACGGACCTAGACTTGTACCCCAGTGTGTTAATTTGAAAAGTCATTTGGTTGCTTTAACTTAGTTTGATATTAGAGTTTTAAGCAAGACATTAAAATATGAGCTGATAATGGCCCAAGGTAATAGAGCATCTTTACCTGTATAAAAACCTGTAGTGTTTCCTTCTTACTGCTCCACTAATGTCCTAGGACATTGCTTACCAAAGTTAACTTACTACCATCATGTTCTCATCCCAGTCAGTTGGAAAGGGAAATTATGTTTTCATTTAAGAACAACACCTGGCTGGGTTCAATGGCTCAGCCTATAATTCCAGCACTGTGGGAGGCCGAGGCAAGAAGACTGCCTGAGTCCGTGGTTTTGAGACCAGCCCCGGCAACTTGGTAAGACCTCGTCTCTACAATAAATCAAAAATTAGCGGGGCCTGTAGTTTCAGCTACTTGGAAGGCTGAGGTGGAAGGATCACTGGAGCCCAGCAGCTCAACGCTGGGGTGGCCGTGAGCGTGTCCCTGCCCTCCAACCTGGGCGATGGAGTGCGACTCTGACTCCAAAAAAAAGAGAACACCACCTAAGGTGTATGCAAACACCCTTTCTCTCACATGCATTAGCCAGCACTTAGTCCTAAATTCATAACTACTGGCATGGAATTCTAAGAAATCTAGTTCTTAGATGGATGTTTGTTTGCTTGTTAAAACTCAGGAGAAGCCGGGCTCGATGGCTCAGCCTGTAATCCCACGCCTTGGGAGGCTGAGGTGAGTGGATTGCCTGCGCCCGCGGGTTCAAGACCTGCCTGGGCAACTTGGCGAGACCTCATCTCTACAATAGATCAAAAAATCAGCCGTGTGTGGTAGTGCGTGCCTGTAATTCCGGCTACTCGGAAGGCTGAGGCGGAAGGATCGCCGGAGCCCAGCAGGTCGAGGCTGTGGTGGCCGGGAGCAGCCACTGCTCACTCCAGTCTGGGTGACAGAGTGAGACTCCAATTCAAAAAAAAAAAAAAAAAAAAAAAAACCTCAGGAGACTATATTATTATAAAGAGCTGTGGAAAAAAATGTGAGGATAATTAGCAATCTCTGTAATAACTGTCAAAACTATCGTTCGACAACGTTTCAGATGTCAGAAATAAAAAACATTCAGGATGAACAAAAACTAAGAACTTACTATCAAAAGTCTCTCATTAAAGAAATATCTAGAGGATATAATTTAGGATAAAGAAGAATGATACCAGCAGAAATCATGAGCCAACACATAGCGAATATGTAGGCAAGTCTTAAGAACTATTCATTTGAAACAAGCAATAGTAATGACAAAGATGTCTTCTTTGTGATGTTAAGAACAGTACAAATGTACTGGTCTAGCAGCACATAAATTATAAAAAGGATGATCTCTAAGATAAAAGGATTCCATTGGCATCATATTGGTGAAAGAAGGGTAGGAATACGGATTTTTTTTTTTGAGTTGGAGTCTCACTCCATCGCCCAGACTGGAGTGCCGTGGCACACTTCCGGTCACCGCAGCCTCGACCAGCTGGGCTCTGGCGATCCTTCCGCCTCGGCCTTCCAAGTAGCTGGAACTACAGGTGCGCGCTGCCATACCTGGCTAATTTTTTGATTTATTGTAGAGATGAGGTCTCGCCAAGTTGCCCAGGCGGGTCTTGAACCCGCGGGCTTAGGCAATCCATTCACCTCGGCCTCCCAACGCGCGGGATTACAGGCTGAGCCACCAAGCCTGGCCAGGAATACGAATTTTTTTAAAACTTTGTTAAGCTAAGTAGATCCACTGAAATTTCTTTTCTTTTCTTTCTTTCCTTTTTTGTTCCTTTTCAAGTTAAAGCCTCACAGTCTGTCGCCCAGGCTGGAGTACAGTGGCACAACCACGGCTCACTCACCACAGCCTTATTTAGCCTCCTGGGCTCAGGCAATCCTTCTGCCTCCGCCTCCTGAGTAGCTGGGACTACAGGCGCACACCACTTGGCCAGTTTTTTTCTTTTTTTAATAGGGGCCAGGCCAAGGCTGATGTGGAACTACTGGGCTCAAGCGATCCTCTTGCCTTGGCCTCCCAAAGCGCTAGGACTAAGGGCATGAACCACCATACCCGGTCCGTCTGCTAAATTTTCTAGGTTAACTAGTAATAGAACAGCTATGAAGTACAAATTCCAAACCAGTGGAGAAGAAAAAAGAATGAGAATAAAAGCAAAAGTGGAAACAAAAGCAAGAAATAATATCTCAAGCAAGAAAGAGGGGACAAATAAAAAAGCCAAAATAGAATAAAGAAATTAAGAAAAAATAAGAAAGCAAAAACTAAGACTGTAAATCCAAAGGGATCAATTGTCACAAACAATAGAATGTGAGTCAGGGTAGCTAGCACAGGTTAGACATAGATAGATACATTTCCTGTAGGTAGGTTTTAGGAAGCATTCAGATTTCTTTTTTTTTTTAGTTGGAGTCTCACTCCATCGCCCAGGCTGGCACGCTCATGGCCACCGCAGCCTTGACCTGCTGGGCTCCGGCGATCTCCCGCATCAGTCCTTCAGGTAGCTGGAACCACAGGCATGCGCCACAACACCCGGCTAATTTTTTGACTTATTGTAGAAATGAGGTCTCATCAAATTGCCCAGGCTGGTCTTGAACCCGTGGGCTCTGGCAATCCTCTCACCTCGGCCTCCCAAAGTGCTGGGATTACAAGCCTGAGCCACCAAGCCCAGCCCAGACGTTTTAAAAATTACATTTTACTGCAGGCCAAGCTGCCCGCCTATCTCATCCCCTCAGTTCATCAAAAGAAAATCCCATCAGACGGAAGGATAGGACAGCCCAACCTTTCCGCTCATGATCAAAAAGATCCAGGCTCCCTGTTGAAGGTAAAAGGCTCAGCCCCACCCCTTAACTGATCAAAAGCATGGCAATGATCATAGACCAATCCCCCCCCCTTCAGAGAAGGTAGCAGTTACCCGTGCACCACTCTTATTTTTTTTTTTTTTTTTTGAGTTGGAGTCTCACTCAATCACCCAGACTGGAGTGCAGTGGCCGCTGCCGGCCACCGCAGCCTCGACCTGCTGGGCTCCAGCGATCCTTCTGTCTCAGCCTTCCGAGTAGCCGGAATTACAGGCGTGTGCTACCACGCCCGGCTGATTTTTTTATTTATTGTAGAGATGAGGTCTCGCTGCCCAGGCGGGTCTCGAACCCACGGGCTCAGGCAATCCACTCACCTCGGCCTCCCAAAGGCGCGGGATTACAGGCTGAGCCACCGAGCCCGACTGCACCACTCTTATTAGCATATCGATAACCAGGTAGCTACATCTAGCTTTTAGTTAAGAGCAGAGGCTCGGGTTTTTCTTTTTGAGAAACTTTCCTATGACAGGTCTTTCTGCCTTCAATCTTCTTTTCCTTCTCTTCACCTCACTAATAAACTCTGTTTTAAAACCATGTTGGCCACTCTGAAAATTATTTCAGGGTTGAGTCAAAGAACCCACAGGTTTGCTCCAAACCCCACCTGGCATCAGAATAAACTAAACTAGAAAGAGAAAAACTGTAAAACCAGACTAAAAGCAAAATCCAGGCATATGCTATTTAAAGAGAAACAGCTAAAATACAAAGGTATAAAAATGCTGCAAATAAAAAAATGAAAAAAAATACTACAAAACGAATCCAAAATACAAATACTGAAACTATATTAATATTAAACAATTGGACTTGAGGCAAAAGCATTACTGAAGTTAAGTGGTTCGGTCCACAGTGATTCATACAGCAAGTCAGTAAGAAAACTGTTCTAAATTTTTGGATGTTTTAACATACTTTCATGATATACAATGCAGAATTAGCAAAGACAGTTTGACAAAGTGACAAATGGACTGGAAGATTTTAAAACATCTCTCTCAGTAATCTAAAGATAAAGAGCTAGGACAGAAAAAGATTTGAACAAGGCCATTAACAATTTGTATATATTTTATTCTAAACACATCTTCTTCCAAAGCATACATAGAACATGAGGAAGACCTGGCAAGAAACCACACAGTATCAACAAATGTCAAAGAATTAGTATTGTACAGACTCTCTTCCCCGATTGAGTGCAAAAAATTAATGTCATAATAAAAGGATTACAAAAATCCCATATACATTTAGAAAAGAGGTTTTAAAGTAAATTATAAATTAAAGAATAAAGAAAAAATATAAACATAATAGCTCACAGAAATATTAAACTTGACTACTTTAGAATTAAACGTTCTAGGCAGTGCAAGTTCTCATAATCCACAACAAGCAAACCACAGACCTAGAAAAGATATTTGCAAACCATTTCACTCATAGAGGAGGAGCATCCAGAATACTTAAAAACACCTGCCAATCAATGAGAAACAGTAACAAAACACAACAGGAAACAAGAAAAGTTACAAGAAGGTAGAAACTTAAGTGGCTCATAGACAAATGAAAGAATATTCAATTTCACTAGCAGTGAGAGAAAGTCATCTTAAAACAGTAATGGCAAATCAGAAAAGAAAAGCTCTGTGTCCAGCAACACCAGCCAGAGCTACTAATCTTATCAAAGAACCACTTACTGGTGGGCCTGCTGGTCCCAGAGCCACTTCATTGGCTTCAGAACAGGAGCACGACCGTGGAAGGTCTGGGCAGGTCTCATCATCCCTCTGAAAAGAAAAAAACGCATGACCGTTGACTAGATAATCTATACACGCGGCTGTATTGACCCGGAGAAAAGACTTGAAGTGCACATTCGCTCCTGACTACAAAACCTTTTCCGTAAAGATGGGTGGACATGAACCTCTGGTGTCACCCATGATCTCGACTATCGAAATACAGGGGAGGAAGGAAGGTCAGAAGTAGGTGCAAAACATCTTTTTTTTTTTTGAGTTGGAGTCTCACTCTGTCGCCCAGACTGGAGTGCAGTGGCTGCTCCCGGCCACCGCAGCCTCGACCTGCTAGGCTCCAGCGATCCTCCCGCCTCAGCCTTCCAAGTAGCCGGAATTACAGGCATGCGCTACCACGCCCGGCTGATTTTTTGATTTATTGTAGAGATGAGGTCTCGCCAAGTTACCCAGGTGGGTCTCGAACCCGCGGGCTCAGGCAATCCACTCACCTCAGCCTCCCAAAGGCGCGGGATTACAGACTGAGCCACTGAGCCCGGCTGCAAAATATCTTGCTTGCCATTTAATTCCACTGCAGTGACAGTGCCCTGAACAAAAGTCCCCAAAACTCTTGCTGCGCTTCAATATGTTTTCTGTCTCAAAGGATAAAAGAAAACTTACTGGCATGCCCAAATCAAAACAACTTCATCTATACCAAAACAAAGATACCAAACAAAATAAAACAGTGTTTAAACACATTCTCAATTCTCTGTGACGATTTCAACAACCGCTCATGTTCTGGGGATGAAAATGAGAAAAACACCATGGCATTGATCCAAGGCTCCGGAGCAGGGGAACATTCTTCTTCCCTTTTGAAGGGGACTTCGTTGTCATGTGATATTACAAGATAGAGTACACATGGAAGGCTGACTAGATCCAAACTAGATCCAGAAGGAAGACAGAGCCCCTGCTAACAGCAACTATCCTCTGAATAGAGTGAAAATAAGCTTCGTTACTTAAGATATTGGGAGAAAGCAAGTTAGACAGAACAGAACACAGATAATAAGCTTCCAAGGTGAAAATAATCGAGTCTCCGAAACAGTCACAAAAGAAACCCAAAGACAGTTGTGCAAATGGTCTGTGACGCACTTACTATATATGCTCTTTTCTAAATGCTGGACAACAGTCAGAGACTTCAGCACAACCCCTGCTAGTGCATATGGCCTGGCATCTGGCCGCTGGCATGAACTGCAAACTCAGGTATTCCAAAAGAGCCCCAAATCAGGCTGACCCCAGGCCACCCGTGACCCGAGACCCCGTGATGGTCCTGCCACAGTGGTCGACGGTGTTTCCACCAGTGTTTTCCCGCTGTGGAGTGTGCACCTTCAGCAAGAAAAGGGGGAGGGGAAGCAGTGGGAACCTGTGCATGCCGTCACAAGAAAACTTAACATTTTGGAATGACGTAGACAAGCGTGATTCGTGAGGCCTGCCTATATATAGGAAACCAGACTCATAGCTTAGGACTCTTGGGACAGGTAAGCAGGCACAGACAACCCTATCATGGCTGGCGAGTGGTTGTGCTTTACTAACCACGTCCTTCCTAGGAAGGGGTGGACACACTTGTGCTCGATACAGCATGGAGTTCTGAGCATTTCCCCTTCCCGTTTCCAATCTGCCTGCGCTTATGCATAACATCATGGGGTGCCTGATTTAATTTCTCAACAGAGTTCACTAGAAACTTATTTTAATGAGAAGGTGACTTCCTTCTTCAACACAGGCTGCCATGAATTGACTGCCTGCGGTAGATACTGTGATCCAGTGTAAATCCTTCCTGAAGGCTTCTCCATGCTCACTCTCCAAGTTTGAATATTAAAGCACAACCACTGGCCAGCCATGACAGACTTGTCTGCGCCTGCTTACCTGTCCCAAGAGTCCTAAGCTATGAGTCTGTTTTCCTAAATACAGGCATATCCCACAAATCACGCTTGTCTACGTAATTCCAAAATGTTAAGTTTTCTCGTAACGGCATGCACAGGTTATATAGACCATGACCACGGTTCCAAAACGGTGTCCCAGAATGCCCTAGGGCACCATATTGGACTCACGGGACACTGAATGTTTTAGAAGTTGAAAAGAAACACAGCAACAATTGGCAACCACTGGACCTCGCGCAATGAACATAGGGTTCTGAAACACTTTTTTTGATGATGTCCTGTATCTGCAGGCATAGTTGCCACGACGAAGGCAGGTGCATGGGAGAAGCAGTGAGGACAGAAGACAGGATGCTACGCCCAACCTCCTCACCAGATCTGAGAAGGGCTGCAGGGTCAGGCACCCACTTCCTGCTGAAGTCATCGGTACTTGGGAATCCACATAAAGCATCGCTTTTTTTTCAAGTTATGTCTTTTTTTTAATGCTATTGGTTGTTAGGATGTAAATAGTTAATGAGACATTTGGTCCTAGTTATTTCATAAATAGAACTGTAAGTTATTTTCTCTTGGCCTAGGGGTGAGTGAAAAAAAATGAGACACCCAAGGGCTTTGTGAACCATGGAATTCGGGAACATCTAGGTCATGTATGTGTAAGTGGCTGTGTCAATGGCCTGCTCTGGGTCATGTATGTGTAAATGGCACCCCTGCGCTATGCAATTCACACCACATGTGATCATGTCACACAGGGACTCTTGCTGATTTCAGATGCGCCCACTTCTTAGCCTCTTCCTAATTTTACCTATCACCACGACAGCTTGTGTGAGTGTTGAGACACAGCATCTCATTCTCAGAGAAAACTAGATACACTTTTTAAAGTGTGTGCAGAGACGGAGGAAAAGTCCTTACCAGGCCTGGAAGTTCACAGCATCTGTCTTGGTTGGCCCACGAAGTGGAGCAGACAATGTCAAACACCTGCAGCTGGAACTACAATGTGAAAAGAAGGCAGTCATTCAATAAAGACCGTCGTCACGTTGTCTGCATAATCATAAAACTCTCACGTTCCACATCACACAACAAACATCGGTACATGTGTCACACAATAAAGAAATACAAAGTGACGCCTACAACATTAAGCCAATGTGTTCCTCAAACATGCTGTGCCCTCAGTTTCTGTCTGCCATTATGCATCGCCCCTTCTATCTCCACCCAGGGCGGAGCAGGCTTATCTGCTGAGACTTTCTTGCAGGGCCAGTCATGGCGGCCCTACATGCGTTGATAATCGTGCACACCACGGGTCCTTGCAGCATGCCTCCCTGCGTGACATGATTGTTTACATTCTCTCCGCCTTAGATCTTCAAGAGAAACATGCATCTTGTGTCACCCACCATAACAAGAGGACATGATGAGCATTCGGGAAGGTTTACTGAATTAATTCTTACTCCACTCTTTCATGCACACAGGCAGCAGATTTTTCTTCCATGCATAATGAAAGCCATATACTATGCAGACTTTTAGGACACAAAAATGGAAAAAAGTCAGAGTCCTGCCCAGAAGACCCACAGAGAGTGAGAGTCAGGCACATGGATGCTGTGTACAACGGGGTAAGCATCACGACAGATTCACATTCGGTATTGTGAGCATGTGAGCAGATTGTGTTTTTATTTAAGCCACTGATCACGTCATAAACATTCACAGTCTCGTTTACCCGTGTATGCTGGTGATGACTCAATGTGTGTGTTGAAAGACACAGAAACTTTTGCTAGAACTTCATGGAGGGCACCCCTAGCTTGATGATTCAGTCATTTCTAGTCTATTTCTTCCTGTATTCTTTTCAAATGTTAAGCATGTCATTCATAACAGAACCGGGAAAAGGGTGACATTCTTTCCTTTTTAAGCCTGCATCCTTCCTTCAGCATGTGATGTCGTCAGCAAGGGTTGAAACTCTTAGAGTCTTATTCTCTGCTCCCCTCACCCCAGCACCACTTGTCCCTGCCAAGAGCCCTCTAGATGAAAACAAGAATGCCAAGCAGAGAGTAATAATGAGACAGGCTACTGAAAATACACATGGTTCACAAAAGAGCCTGTCTGACACTAAACTGAAGGAAACCAGACTTTCTGTCATTACACTTGGGAATGACTGTGTCTGGTTGCAAACATTCCTTCCAGCTGATCAATAAGAGGACCCTTGAGTTTGCAAAGCAAATCCACGAGTCAAAGCACCTCCCTGTTGAACCTAATCTACAGGGCTGCTGGCAGAAACAGTGCATGGCTCATGGCTCTTTTTCTAGATGGTTTAAAGCCCCCTCCCTTCCATCCAAGGGTATCATACCTCAGCCTGTGCAGGGCAAACCAAGAGAAAAAAAATCATGACCAGTGAAAATTAAGCATTTAAAATTAAAACATTGGAAAAACACACCAAGGCTGATTTTATAAACGGCAACAGCAACAGAGACTTCAAGGAACCCAGGGATTCAAGACCGTGGGACAAGGCTGCCCAGGTGTTTGTCTCCACCCTGCCGCCCCGGACAGACTGAGTGATTTTGAACAAATTACTCTTGGCAGCTCAGTTTTCTCATCTCTAAAATTAGCATAGCAACAGTAGCTATCTTTGTGGCTGGGAGGATTCCAGGAGTTAATTTAGAGGAAATGTTGTGCCTGGAATATAGTTGCTATAAATGATAATATTACGTTAGCATTCTGTGTACAGTCCTACTATAGTCAAATTTTTAAAGGTGCAGGTGTGAATATAAGACAGAGGCCAAAACAGTAGAGTCCAAATGAAAATGACAGCACTGCAGGCAGAGATAGAAGTCTGTTTCCACAGCAATAATATCTGCTTAATGCTTTGATGCAAAAATGATACAGAAGCCCACTCTTGTCTTCCCATACTGTCGCCACCATTAAAGAAAGGCATCACGAGGTTTCAAGAGGGCCTGCACATACCTGCCCTCCCTGTAAGTCACTTCAAAGAACCCTTAATTCCCACAGACCACACTCACGTTTAACTGAGAGAAATGAATCCCAATTCACTCCCTTTTATCAGTAGTCACAGGTTTGAAAAATATATGCCCATGGAGCCGTAACCCTTGAAATTTGTATAACTTTTTGCATGCTATAACTACTAACTAACAATATGTTGGAGTGAATAATGTTTTCTTTGTAATAAGTTCTGTTAACTGCCTTACTCTATGGCAAGCTTAATCAATTCCTCTGTTTGGTGTTACTGGTAAGAGAAACTGTGAGATACCCCGGGTAACTGAGCTGGGAAATGTGCACCATAAACGTCACTACTGACAAAACGCGGCTATAACTTAAGTTGTACACAATGATCTGTCAGTCACAAAGTTAATGTACAGGCGCCAGCAACACTGAACTTATTATAAACACCAGCTGTGAAATCTAAGGGGTGAGCGAACCAGTTCCCAAAATGCCAGGAGCCAGGTTCTATCTCCCCGAGTTCTGAATTCAGAAATAAGCTTCTTTCCGCTAGTCCCCCACCTCTCCATGTATTGGCATCGAGAGTAGCAAATGAACATTTACTCGGGCCGTCACAAAAAAGCAAGTCACAACAGCAGCCAACACTTTCTGGAAGCTGCGGTGTTCCATCATTCTGAGCACTTCACATGCATCACTGAGTCTTCTGGTCACCGCCATAATGTACAGGAGTAGAACCTGAGATGATGAAGTTTAAGTAATTTAACTGCACATTGAAGACGCAGTTCTGGTTGAGACTCGAACAGCATACCCCATTTTCTGGGGGCTTATTTCCTAACAAACCGTTCTTTGATCTAATGTTTAAAGTGCAGAATGCCCAACCTAGCCTTACAATGCCATTTTGTCTGGGGAGATTTATTAAATGGGTCCCATTATGACTGCATTGGATAGATTCAGCTAAGTCTGCAAATCATTTATCCATTAAGAAATTTTCCATTTCTGAATAGAGCGCTCAGTGCAAAAGCGTTTTCGTGAATGGAAAGATTTACTTAAAGTAAAGGCCTTTCACTAACCCCAGTATGCACCAAGGTTTCTTGAAGCTTTTCAAATAAACATTCACCACCTAGTCACCTATAACAGCAGACAGTCTTCATACAAAGTCTACTATAACTTCTGCCTAATGGATATTGGGGTTCCTATGAGCTCAACTTATATATTCAGGAGTTGCCTACTGAGTGCTGAATGAAGCCAGTACTACAATTTCAGGAATGTCATGTGGGCTGTCCTTTCTTTTGCAAGTTACATGATGTCAGCAGCTTGCTCTTTGAGCACAACAAATGTATTCATAACTGTTTCACATTTGTAATAGTTGAGCCCTCAGCCTTTATTTAGGGACTTCTTTTCCAAGGCATGTTTCTGGGGATTGATTAAAAGAGAAGAAAAAAACTTTGGCTATTACTCCAAAAGCATTGACATACATATTTGTACAAATTACGCAGGAGACAATGTAGTGACTATATATCAAAAGAGCTCATAGTTGAGTGTCGTAAAATGCAAGACATGGTGGCTCCAGTTAATCACATTTTAGGCAACTAATGCAAGAAGCAGCCCTTTCCAGTTTTGTAACTTTTTTTGATAATGAACTGAACATTATAAAAGATTTATCTTTGCCAGGAAAAAAAAAAAAAGAGCGAAGGAGGGACATATAACCTCCTGTTTTCACTTTTCCTCATCTCTTTCAAGGGAATACTTAGCCAGTTACAAATACTCATTTTTCATTACTGGACATTTTTGCCTGGGTGTAGCACAAAAGGCAAGTCATTTGGGGTCAAATGTTGCATGAAAATAAGATTAAAACTTTCCTCGGCAGTTGAGTCATTTGATCTGTCAATGGAACTAAAGAGTGCCCCAGCTCCATTTTCCCCTCAGTCCCTTCTCTGACTTTTTCTCCAGCATGCTATAACTAGGCTTATAATTCAAAGTCAAGCTGTACCTGAATTTATGCAAACATTTAGAGAGGTTTACACTGTACAGGAATGCTTTAGAAAGAATCTGAGCCATTTTCTGTTTTTAATTTGCCATCCAAATTTTATTGACTCCACTACAGAACTAAGATTTATTGATCACTTACCATTTGTCAGCTATCGAACTGCATGTGTTTACTTGTTCTCAATTTATTGAATTTAAGGGAAACTATGAAGGCAATAATCAGGTAATGAAAATTAACAGCTGTCGTACATATTAATAGCAATTGGTATAGACACACTTTGGGGGGTATGATCTGCTGGGCTCAGGCGATCCTTCCACTTCAGCCTTCCAAGTAGCTGGAACTACAGGTGCACACTACCATGCCCCTCTAATTTTTTGATGTAATGTACAGACAAGGTCTTACCATGTTGTCCAGGATGGTCTTGAACCCCTGGGCTCGGGCAATCCTCTCGCCTCAGCCTCCCAAAGTGCTGGGATTACAGACGTGAGCCACCACGCCCAGTTCATATTTGCTCTCAAGGTTGTAATTCAAATAACAGTGAGTCTTTGAACCTTTCAATGAACAGACTGGGCATATGACTACTGGTACAGACCAGACTCCCTTTTCTGCCTGTAGGTCTGGAATGATCAGGGTCTGACCTAATGGAAGAGAGCACTGGACTGGAAGGCAGGTGGTCTCACAGGAGTCAGACACGGTCTCTTACCTCATGGTCTTCCCGATGTGAAAGGGAACCTGTCCCTAACTTCTTCAAGTCTCGTTTCTCCAGCTTTAGAGTAGAGACAGTGTAAGTCTCTCTTTCTAGGGTTATTGGAGGATTAAATGGCATAATCTCTGAAAAGTACACAATGCCTAATCCATAGGAGGCATATAATAAATATTGGCTACCATTATAATTTTAAGGATTAAAAGAGATAATTCATGTGAAAATACGATCCTTTTTAAAAGTGACTTAACAACACTTATTTTTGTGGGGCATCAACTAGTCTACCATTGATTTCTACATAACAGCTATAACTCAGTGAATAAAATGACAGGTAACTCTGGCATAGAGTTCTCTTTTATTTGAACAGCAGAGAGGTAGAGTGGATAATGACCCAAGTGCTAGATTTGGAAAAGTAAAAGAAAGACAGTAGGTAACGTGATCCTACCAGGAGTTCAAAACTTTTCCAGAATCATCTCATGAGGTATCAGAAAAGGTAGAAGAAACTTCTTAGGAGAAAAAAGGTTGGAAGGAGAAGTAGTTGTGAAGTTTCTTTGCACATGTGTTTTGATGGCTGAGGTAAGCCTGCTTTTGAGTCCAGTCCCACTCGGGACTGTCACTGCCCATCAAATCTTGCATTGCTGAACACCAGTTGATTTTACTCAGAATGTGAGTAATTTCTCCACAGTACTTAACTGCTTCCCTAAATCCATTAATCTAGCTTCTACTCAACTTTCCACAGAATCTTCAGAGTCTCCACCATCTGGCATTTGACTCATTGCTGCATTTGCCAAGGGATGGGAACCTATTAGTTACTAATCTCACTCATATATTAATTACTCCTCCCAGAATAATCTAGAATTTGCACAAGATGCATTCCCCTTTTCTGGGTATTGGAGTAAAAATGCCCGTCAAGATTATGGGGCAGCCTATGATGATTTCTAAATTGAAAACTGAAGACTGAGACTTTTCTTACCTTGTACTGAAATGATGAAATAATACCTCAAAAAAACAAGTCTGAGTTTCTAATCACATTCTTGAGCTCTAACCTAATATGAGCCATTTCAACGTAATCAAATTATTCAATAAGTGGGCAGACTGAAAATCTATTTAGTAATCCTTTGTAGACTTCTATATTCTAACAAAAGCCATGACTTTTTTCCTGCTAGTCTTACAAAGAGCTCTTTAATTATTGACTTCTATAATTCCCTTTTGTCTGCTACTAGTTGGAAGTTACCACAGAGAAGGCTCTGTTTAATTACATTTCTTTCATGAACAAAAGTAAAGATTTGTCATCAGTAGGCCTGAAACCTGCAGGCACTTTTGCTTTAAGAAATAAGTTCTTTGACATTTAATTGGCCGTATGCTTGGAGTACAATTATTACACACAGTGTAATTTGAAATACAATTGTTATCATTGTTATTATAAAATTGTAATTGTAAAATACAAATTTAATTAGGAAAGGGTATGATATACATTACTGGACTGTTGTCAATGTCACACAGAGAATACATGCAAGACAAAACTTTAAGAAAAGACATGATACAATTCAAATAGACAACATGCTATTTAATTTCTCTTGTGTTTCTTGGGAACTTACTCTGTTCATAGATATTAATTAGGGTAGAAGGCAATGGTTTCAAATGAAGACCATGACACGGTTTCTAGTTTGGGGAATTTATGCTCCAGCTAGAAAGGTGGAAAGTAGATGTATGAAAGAGCAAGAAAATAACCCATGCTGCGGGTAATCAAGGACTAGGCAAGTGCTAGAGGTCTAGAAAAGGTGGAGACAGATGGAGAGGGTGTTATGGATTCCTTCAATTATTACATTGCCCTTCATTGATTGCCTACTATGTGTCAGGAATTCTGTATGCTTTATTTCTAAAACTAAGAAAATAATGGCCACTGTTTCATTGAGCACTGGCCAGGCCATGTGTTCTTTGAGCCATGTTTTCTTAGCTTTGGCCCACCTCCCCTACTTTGGGGAGGTGAATTTCCCCTCTCTCTTTGTCTCCAATTTACTTTCTAAATAAACTGCGCAAAAACTTTTCTTAAAAAAAGAGAAAATAATAACAATAAAACTAAGTTATTTGGGCCCATAATCTTACATACATAGAATGGCTTCTCTTTCTTCCACTCACACATCCATCCGAGCGTCCATCTATACACCCAGTTACCCATACAAGATATCCTTAGTTTGCAAATTCTGTATACTTATAATTCCTTCATGTGCTATCATAGAAGCATCTTCTATTAAGCAGAAAACTGTGTATCTTAATCATCGTGTAATACCATACATTAAGAAGAGACAGTTCCTCAATGTCATGTAAACACTCATAAAAGTTCCTTACCATAACTGAAAACGACAGCCTTCCATAGCTTTTGTATTCTCTTTCCAAACATCTCACCCATAGTTCTCCAAAGCAAAGCAAAAACAAAAAGAACTTCTAAAGATACTTCAAAGCTAAGCATTAAACTAATTAGCACACATACACAGCTACCTATCCAGGCCCCAAAGCATCAATATCCCGCTCTCTATATAAGAGTTTCACTTCTCTTGTTACCACAACGAGAAATGCCACAAAACAGCAGAGTCTCCACATAAGTCACTAGACCACCCTAGGCCTGTTTCCTGGTTTGTAAAGAGAATGGCTGAGGACTCAGAACCCCACTCATTGGTTCCATCGGAGGGATCATTGGACGGGGAGACACCAGCCACCCTATGTCCCCTCTCTCATTCAATCTGCATGAGTCTGTTTAACCTTATTTTTTATTTGGCATAGTACAATATTTCATTTGTACAAGGTGATCTTTAGTTTAAAAAGGCTATGAGGACTACCAGCTCTTTCTAAAGCTTCACACAGCTAGCTAATTCTACAGATCTGTACAAGAGGAACTGATCATTCTGTTACACAGAGGCAAAATGTAGATCAGAATAGTTGGAACTATTTACAAGAAGCTGGCTCACAAATTGTAAAATGACTCAAATTAGAGAATGCTGCTAATTAGCTGTGGATGCCTGATACCAAAACCAAACCTGTGTATACTCTTCTGTTCTGTGGGTAATGACTGAAGGGAATGTGATTTCTTTGCCAACTGGAAGTCTCTCAGATTTAAATTCCATGTTGTATGATTAAAAAAAATCATCTTAGAATGATTTATTAAATAACTATGAATAATTAAAGGGTAAACCACAATAGCGGTGGCAAAAACTTGGTTTAAAAATGCCCAAATCTAACCCATATTAGAGGCTGTGTTAATTTCCTGCATATAATTTTCACAAATTTTATATGGATTTGTATTTGTTTATATAAATGAAGTTCATCTACAGTTTTAATTATCTTTTTAAAAAACATTATGCCACAAACTGCATAATGAATTTTTCATTATTTAAAGTTTAAAATGCATTTAGAAAATAAGCCAGCCTAAATCCTGGAATATTCTTCTTATAACAGGGCACAAGCATCTAGCCAAGAGCTTTGAATGTACATGTTTTAGTTCACTTTAAAAAGCCATTATCCATGCATTTATCCATCCATCCATCATCTTTTTACCAAATTTTCCCCTGGAAAATTACTGTGTTTTAAAAGGGTTTTTCCTGTAACAATAACACAGCTTCACTTGCATCCACGTACCGGTGCGGAATTTCCATCAGGGCCTCTGGATCTCACCATTCTCCCTAGGACCTCCACACCGTCCGACGTGATGTTAGCGGATGCGTTGATTGCCTTCTCTCCCACTTGCTTGCAGTCAATGACCACTTTGGCCAAGGTCTTGCTGACTACAATGTGTAGCTAGGTAAAAGTAAAGATGTTTTAGGAGGCAAGGAGCAGGAGGAGATACCAGCTACACCTGTACAATTGCATGTCTCACTGTTTGCAAAGAGAAGGAAGGCATTCTGTCAGCACGTGTTTTAGAGGAGAATATTTCTACTTCTACCATTTCCGTGATTTACCAACATTCAAGTACAACGTTCAAGTAACATCTTATTTTTATCTAGTTAACACTTCTCTTTAAAATGACTTTGAGTGAACTCACTTTTTAAAGTCTGGTTTTATTCTAAAGTAATATCATCTTTAAAAATCATAGGATTTCCTTTTTTGGTTTTTTTGTTTGTTTATTTGTTTTTGAGTTGGAGTCTCACTCTGTCACCCAGACTGGAGTGCAATGGCTGCTCCCGGCCACCTCAGCCTCGACCTGCTGGGCTCCGGCGATCCTTCTGCCTCAGCCTTCCAAGTAGCCGGAATTACAGGCGTGCACTACCACACCTGGCTAATTTTTTGATTTATTGTAGAGATGAGGTCTTGCTGCCCAGGGGGGTCTCAAACCCGCGGGCTCAGGCAATCCACTCACCTCAGCCTCCCAAAGGCGCGGGATTATAGGCTGAGCCACAGAGGCCGGCTGGATTTCCTTTTTTGAATACACATTTAAAAAACACAAAATATATTAAAATTAAAAATTCTTGTTGATTTATCACCAAAAATCATCTAGAGTGCTACACACTTTGGTAAAACTTATTTAATCTAGAATGAGGAGAGGAGTGAACTCCAGGCTCTGGCTTGGTATATGGTGCGATTTTCTCAAGCTAGACTCTCAGGAATCTGGAGGTCCAAGGTCGTATTTTTAGGAGTCTGCATATTCTTTGCGAGGACTGGTATGCGTTTGCTTATTATTTAGGTGGTAGTCAGAGGTAAGCATGTGCTAAATGAATAGATAACCATGCTGTTCCCAAGCTCTGCCATAAAATTTCAGTACTCGTATATGTGCTTCAAATTATGATGGTGTTGGCCTCATGAGTGCTACAGTGCTTGTTTGTGGCAGACTAGTCAACTAAGAGTGAAATCCATAGGCAGATAATAATGCCACCTTAAGTGAATGCCAATAGAAGTTACAAACAGCTATCTAAAGGAAGGTATCAGGGCAGTTCAAAGAGAAAGAGTATTGGGTGATACGGATCAAGGTTATGGAGTTATAGCCCGGACAGTATTCACATGGTGAGCAGAGGTGAACTCAGTGAAATAAGTCATCTTTCATATTAAAATAGTGTTACTTTTTGTTTTACTGGTCTTGTCAACCTTATTTTTGTTTCATTGTTGTAAGAGCTGAAAACATATGAATTTATACCAATTTTTGCTCTGTGTTTTATTTAACTTATGTCATAAAAAAATAATTTAAGTCAACAGTGGGACTCTTGAGAATCTCTTTCCTTCACAAAGAATCATTGCCCATGGAAGAAATACTCTGGAATAACCCACCACATTCTTTGCTTCTTAATAGTATCTCTGTTATGATCATTTAGAAGAGAGTAACTTGACTCGTGTGTTTGTGAGTCTTGGAGCACTTTCCATTTTTATAGATATTATTATAGATATTGCAGAAATGTTCCTGCTGGTTGCTACAAAACCTAGCATATAATACCCATGTTTTAAAGACTATTAATTTGTGGGGAGATTATTCATGTGGTTTAAAAAATTGCTTTACAAAAGAAAACATTAAAAAGTTTCCAGAAATATTTGGTTTCTTTGGTTGAACTCAGGTGTCCATTCATGTAATAATTAACTCTGTAAAAGAGACTTTGGGGCCATGCTTCACATCCAAAGTGTAAAAAGTGAAGCTAAATGAGAAATTAAGGTAAAGAATTTATTCATTTATAAGTCTACGACAAATCAAATCCTATTTCTACAATTTGAATTTATATTGAGATTGTCCATTATAAAGTATTTCGTTACATGATAAGCCCTTTCTCTCCTTTTGTTTGTTTGCTTGACTGTCTTTGCTAGCACTCAACACGGAGGAAAGTTCTTCTTCATGTAACTTTAAAAACTTGAAGGTTTATGCCTTTAAAACCAATTTTTATTTTATTTATTTATTTATTTTTTGAGTTGGAGTCTCACTCTGTCGTCCAGGCTGGAGTGCAGTGGCATGCTCATGGCCACCACAGGCTCGACCTGCTGGGTTCAGGTGATCCTTCCACCTCAGCCTTCCAAGTAGCTGGAACTACAGGCACATGCCACATGCTGGCTAATTTTTTTAAATTTATTGTAGAGATGAGGTCTCACCAAGTTGCCCAGGCTGATCTCGAACCCACAGGCTCAGGCAATCCTCTCACCTTGGTATCCCAAAGTGCTAGGATTATAGGTGTGAGCCACTGCACCTGGCCTTAAAAATCAACTTTTAATGAAGTTTATTTCTGGGTCTTTGAGTTCTGCAAGGATAAGGAAAGCTTGATATTCACCCAAGACTCATACAGGATTCTCTGGAATGAGAATTGCAAGTTTACACCTAAGCCATAGACTAAGATGACAGCGTTTGTCTTAACACTCATGGGCTCTCAAATACTTTCATCTCCTCTACAGTTTTTCTTGATGACTTTGCAATGGATTCTACATAACGAAGAAGATACCATGTCAAGGAACTTGGTGTGTAACTGGTGTGACGTCCGAAAAGCCACTCGCAGGGCCATTTTGAACCATTAAATAATAAGGCACCTGTATCTCACATGCTTTCAGATACTTTTACTTCTGGCAGTACAGTCCTACCAAATGAGAAAAAAATTAGCTATTTTATTAAGCATTTGTCCTCATGAAATTATGTGGTATGCAATTATGACATTCAAAACCACAGAAAGTAGCAAAGTTGTGGAAATCAGATTGACGTGACCACACTCTAGGTCACAAGACAGAAGCCAGGAGGAATTTTATGGGGCATTCCTTCTCTCTCAAGCAGAGTGGGAAGGGCCCTGCTAGGAGGCGAGACTTTTCTACATCATCTCATAAACGTTCTGCCGGTCCTGCCGTCTAGGTGCTACATCGCCTCACAGCCCAGAGATCAGCGAGATTCTCCACCACATGCAAAGGAAACAGCAGACAATGGAGGAAATCACGTCCATCCCAGTGACCGCCACGGGCAAGAGCATCTGGGCAGTACATGTGACAGCATGGTGCTCTCCCAAGGGCTAAGTCAGTACCACAAGGACATGTAAAGATGGGGTTCACAGCACTTTCCCCAGGGCAACTTCCACCACGGCAGCGAAGGGCTGTACTTGTATATATGTAAAGATCTCAGAGCAGTCCGCTATCTTATCTTCACATTCGACAATGCCTTCATCTGCTCTGGGCCAGGTAGACAGCAATCTTTTCCACATCACACAGAAAGCAGCCGATGAACAACTGTCTGTTCAGCCACCCAGTACGCTTAATGACGTCACCCCTCAAGGAGGGCGCCTAGACCACTTCTACCAGCATCCCCTGGGGGGCCTGCTGAACGTGCCCATGTCAGAGTCCCCCCTTAGAACTGCCAGGCCCAAATCTCTAGACCTTGTCAACAAGCCCTGAAGACGATTTTCACTTCCGCTGAAATTTGGGGCCCAAAGCCCTATGCAGTTTTTCAAAATATCTTTTTCTTTGCCCAACAGCAAACAGAAAAAAGCATATGTGTGTGCAAGGCATTGCTAACCTTGTGAAAGCTTCCATAGAAAATCTTCTTAATTTCAGGCCCTTCAAAAGTAACTGTTTGAAAATCTCCACTGTGGTCATAGTTGAAGTACGTGAGGGTTTTCCCGCCATCTATTCAAAGAAAAAATAAACGGCATTTCAGAAAGAATTAAAACAGATCAATAGCTTGTTTTAAAATCCAGCTCCAGGCAAAGCAATACCTTCGCTGTTTTGAAACCATGTTAGAACAAAGGGAAGAGGAAGGAGCAACCTGAGTTCCTCAGCGGCTGCAGACCTTTGGGGGCCGGACGGGCAGATTTGCCCCGTCTATGGTGATGCCAGGGAGGGGCCCCACACACCCGTCCTCTGTACCTTTCTGCCTAGACTCATCCCCACCAGGCTCTTGAGGAGGCTGTCCAAAGCTGGGGGTCAAGCCAACAGAGGGAGAACAGAGCCCACCAAACCGTACGTGCTGGAAACCGGGTCCTCTGTCTTTTTGACCTGCTGCAGCAGCCAACTCTCACGGGACATGCAACCTATGCCACCCGAGACACTTCATCTCTTATGAACAAACCAACAAAAGGCTTCCTCGTCATATATTCTTCGTGTCATCATGAATCTTTTATCATTTTTTTTAAAAAGAATTTCTTCACTAGTTTATGTCTATATTACAGTTTAGTTCTTCACTCTGATTCAAAAGACGCAAGCTAGTCTTAATCACTTTGAAAAATTTTTCAAGTCCTGGGTGTATATGGAGTTAGTAACCTGATTTCCTTTTAATCTACAGCTTTCTTTAGTTTTAATGCCAGTGCAAAATTTCACAATATCATACTTAGTTGTTGATTCATTTCCACGTACTAAAAATACTTTCCCAAACACTAATTGGAAACAAATTTAAAACACTTTCTTTCTCCAAATGCTTGTAATAGCCTCTAATTTTGGTACTTAGCTTCATTGGAATCCTAAACTAGAACCAGATTTAGAAAACTCAGTGATGCTAACCAAAAATTTGATGATCTTCTTTTTGTTGTTGTTGTTGGCGTCTCACTCCATCACCCAGGCTGAAGTGCAGTGGCACACAGGCTCACCGTCACCCCACCATCAACCTGCTGGGCTCCGGCGATCCTCCCGCCTCAGCCTTCCAAGTAGCCGGAACTATAGGCATGCGCTACCACGCCTGGCTGATTTTTTCATTGATTGTGGAGACGAGATCTCGCCAAGTTGCCCGGGCTGGTCTCGAACCCGCGGGCTCAGGCAATCCACTCGCCTCAGCCTCCCGAAGTGCTGGGATGACAGGCTGAGCCACCGAGCCCGGCTCCGATGAACCTCTTAAGTGATCCCCACACACAACACCCAAGAGCATGAAGCTAAGAAGCTTCCTTCACTGGTTGCCCCTCAACCTTTCAGCCTCCAAACCGGCACTTCCCAGCCCCAACCTCCTCCTCTTCCCAGCCTCCCTCTCCAGTGATCTTGCCCAGTGTCATGGCTCACACGTCCCACACCCACAACTTCCAAGTGAGCATCTCCAGCCCAGAATTCCTGCTGGATATGCTGCTGCAATCTGGCATCTCCTCTGGGGAATTAAAGAGCCACCTCACGTTGATCATATTCATGTCCAGAAAATATACATTTGGTCCTCCGCCCCAAACCTTCCATCCGCCCTGCTCCTTCTTTGGTCTTCCCTGTCTCAGTTAGACTTGCTTGTCTCTCCTCTCCTCGCTCACCGCTGTATCCCAGAGCCTCGTGCCAGGCACAAAGTAGGGACTTCAGGAATATTTGCTCAAAGAATGAGGGAATAAATGAATGCGTTGACTGCTATACCATCCACTGTTTCGTATTACTCTGCATGCACACAAATGCACGCCATGTACATTCCCTCATGCCACGTGTGTGCACACCTTATAGAAACACATATACTTACTGTCCAAAATGACTCCAACCAAGGGATCAGAATTTTTATTTAAAATTTCCCAAAGAGCAAACGGCTCCTGTGGCGTATCAGGAAGAATGCGGAAGAGAAAACTGATCGTGTAGTCAGAGGGCAAACCTTCTGGATGCAAGTACCTGGAAGCAGAAAGAAAATAATGTTTTTTTTTTTCTCAGAAAGTTATGCCTCTGCTTACCATCATTACACAAGACCTAGAACAACAGAAAAGATCACCGTTAATCCCAACAAGGTTACATTGGAGTGGTACGTTTCCTTCTGGTCTTGCCTGTTTCGTGATCTCTGTAAGTGTTTGTTCAGTGTATATCATTTCTTCCTTTTCTTAGCACCAGTTAATAATCACTTTCCATTTCCTTAACTGTTTTAAACAGCTTAATATTTAGTGGCTGCACAATCTTCTCCTGTTTGGCTGTTTTATAACTTACTGGTCAACTCTCGTTGGACATTTAAGCTGTTTCAGAGGTTTTCGTACAAGAGATAATGTTTCTCTAAATCCTTGGGTGAGACCAGACTGACACCGTCACCTTCTACACATGCTGCAGCTAACCGTGTTCTGTCTGTGGCAGGAGCTGGGGCACCTTGTCCAGGTCCACCCTCAGGAGTGCAGCACACTGCCAGGCCCTGGGGTGTTGTCTGCAGACGGCTTTCAGACGCTAGCAGCTGCAGGAGTGGCCGAGGGTACGTCACCTTCCCAGGGCGCCTCTTTTCAATGACTAGTCATTGAGGGAGTAGAGGACCAGGCCTCAGGCTCCCCAGGGAAACCGTTCTGGCGGTTCATTCCGCCTTCCGAGCACCTTTGGTGGTCAGCTGAGGCTTTTATGGAGATTTGTCACTGTTGGACTTCTCGCCTTGCCTGGTTGCTTCCTGCGGGTCCTGATCACCATGGCACGCCCTCACCCGCTCCCCACACACGGTTCTCCACCCGAGTGCCACGCACTACCCCATCTTATCTCCCTTTCTAACAACCAGGCAGATCACTTGTTTGTTTTTTAAATCTTTCCTCAAGCAAAAAAAATAAAAAAGTTTTTTCCATATCGTAGGAACTCCACAACAGTTATTCATTGAAGAAATGTACGAATATGCATGAATTCAGTGTAAGTTTGAAAATGAAAGTTTGGGGGAAAAGAAGATGGCAGCAAAGCCAGTCGGACTACGCAAGTCCCTGTGTGAGTGAGTGGGCAAGTGGAGGGACAAACTTGCCTGTAAGCGGGTGTGTGAGTGGCTGCTGGAGTGGGGACTCGGGAGCAAGTGGCCAGGGCTCTCCTGACGAGGCGGCCGGTGCCGGCAGCTGTTCCGCTTGGACCCTAGTGCCTCCTGGGCTGCAGAAGCTGTGCACCACTTTCTAAAACCAACAAACCTTGACCCAGGGAGAAGCTGCCAGGAGTGACGGCTGTCGCGAGACTGCCTGGCCGCCACAGCAGCAAGCTGGACACTGGCAACCAGGGTTCCAGAGCGAGCACAGCAAGGGAGCCAGAGGCAGAGTCCAGCTGGAGAGGGCAAAATACGCATCCCGGCACCATCTTGAAAAACTACTCAGGGGTTGATCGTGACCCAGAGGGAACATCCCAAAAGCACAATCTTCAGCGGGACAGGATGAGTGTGGAGTCTGAGACGCCCCCACCCCTACCCTGATCCAGCCGTGGGACAGAGGGTGTGACCAGAAAAGGACAAAGAAGACCCTCCAAGACTTCAGCAGTGAGTCCTGGGCTGACCCAACCCCCCCTCCCCAGAAATCCTCCGAACATCAGAACCGCACAGTTGGGGCACGACTGAGAGGGCTCTCCTGTTGAACCCAGGTGAAGCCAGGATGGCAGCTGTGCTAGGAGAACTCTACTCTGGGATAAGCTTGGCTGGGGCGCCCACTGCCAGCATCTAAGGAGGACACAATCCTGCACTGTCCTGCTGGATGGGGACCCCCTGACTTTATGAAAGCAGCAGAGGAGGACTGATGCCTCACCCACCCCACCGCCCCCTCCTTCCCCGGTCACGTGCTGGGGTGGAGCAGACTGTGAATGAGCCTACAACCCTACAGGAGATGGCAGATGGGCTTACCTGTGAGCGACTGAGATGAGTAATTACGGAATCTGCCACAGGAGGGGGGTTAGTGCCCGATTAAAATCTTTTTTCTTTTTTGTTCTTCTTTGTTTTGGTTTAGTGTGTGTGTGAATGTGTGTGTGAGGGTTTGATTTGCATCCTTGGCATGTTTTTTTGTTCTTTTGTTTCTTATTTTTTGAGTTTTTGTTGTTGTTGTTGCTGTTCTTTTGTTTTTGTTTAGTGTATGTGTGAGAATGTGTGTGTGAGGGTTCAATTTGCATTCCTCCTTTTCTTTTTGGGGGGGTTTGTTTTGCTTCGTTCTTCTTTTGTTTTGGTTTAGTGTGCGTGAATGTGTATTTGAGGGGGTTCGATTTGCATTCCTCCCCCTTTTTTTCTTCTTCTTCCTCTTTCCTTTTTTGGTGTGTGTGTGTGTGTGTGTGTGTGTGTGTGTGTGTGTGTGTGTGTGTGTGTGTGTGTTCAGTTCCTGGGTTTTGTGTGCTTTTGTGTGTTTTCTTTTCTGCTGGTTTTGGTTTTCATTTTCTTTTTGTCTTTTTTGTTATTGTTTTTGCTTTTGTTTTTCTGTGGTTTATTTTATTTTTTATTATTTTTGTCTGTTCTATTTCATTCTACTCTCCTCTGTTTGCTTTATTACTCTTACTTTATCTTGGACTCGGGGGTACACACACATAACCATTGCATCATCACATACAGTGGTGGTGCGGAATGAGTCTCATATATTAGTCAGTGAACACTGTAACTTGCAAGTCATTTCTGAATACTAGCTCCCCATCTTCCACCTTATTTGACTCTCAAAACTACAGAAACAGTAAACCTTCCCAGCCCTGTTTCAAATCAGAACAAATTTGGAGGTTCTGATCAGGGCAGAATATAGGGCTCAGCAAACAACAGAAGTGAAAGCCCTGCCCACTACCACTGAATAACAGAATTAAAGAGAAAAGAAAGAGAGTTGTCACAAATGAAAAATCAACAGAAGAACACAGGTAATTCACAGTGTACCAAGAGGCAACACCCTCAAAAAAAATCAAACCTCAGGGCCCAAACAATGGAAGTCACCAATGACTGGCCCCACAATACAACAGGGAGTAGGGAACAAATGGAAAGAATGAATAGCCTCAAGAAAGACAAGATGCAACACTGAAAATACTTGTGGCTGGGCTCAGTGGCTTAGTCTGTAATCCCAGCACTTTGAGAGTCCGAGGCAAGTGGATTGCCTGAGCCTGCAAGTTCAAGATCAGCCTGGGCAACTTGGTGAGACTCCGTCTCTACAATAAATAAAAAATTAGCCAATTGTGGTAGCATGTACCTGTAGTGCTGGCTACTTAGAGCGCTGAGGCAGAAAGTTCGCCAGAGCCCAGCAGGTCAACGTTGGAGTGGCCGTGAGTGCACCCACAGCACTCCAGCCTGGGCAACAGAGTGAGACTCCAACTCAAAAAAGAAAGAAAAAGGAAGGAAAGAAGGAAGGAAGGAAAGAAGGAAAGAAGGACAGAAGGAAGGAAGGAAAGAAGGAAGGAAGGAAGACAGAAAGAAAGACGGAAAGAAAGAAAGACAGAAAGAAAGAAAGAAAGAAAGAAAGAAAGAGAGAAAGAAAATACTTGTAACAGAGATTTTGGCCATAAAATACTTCATCCAGGAAATAAATAACAAGATGACAAGCATGAGAAGCAGAATCAGCCAAGCAGAAGAATCTCAGAACCTGAAGAACAAAACATGAAATTACTTGATCTGTTAAAAACATAGAAAGAAAACTCAGAAAGAAAGAGCAAAGCCTCCAAGAGATGTGCGATTATATCAAGAGGCCAAACTTACTCCTGATTGGTATCCCAGAAGAAGAAAGGGAAATGAAGAACACCTTGGGACAAGTATTCCAGGAGGTTATCCAAGAAAACTTTTCCCACCTCACCAGAGATGTGACCATCCAAACACAAGAGATTCAGAGAATAAGACATCAAATGACAATTCAGAGAGTAATACATCAAATGAGAAGACAAACCCCAACACATAGCAGTTCACCTATACAAAGTAGGCATAAAAGAAAAAATCCTAGACAGTAAGAGAGAAATGTGAGACTATCTACAGGGGAGGACCAATCAGCAGACTTATCAGCAGCAGACTTATCAGCAGAAACACTGCAAGCTAGAAGGGAGTGGAGTCCAATTTTCAAGGTCCTCAAAGACAAGCAATTTCAACCAAGAATTTCCTACCCAGCCAACCTCAGCTTCATCAGTGATGGAGAATTAAAATCCTTCCCAGATTTCCAATCCCTAAAAGATTTTACTGCTTCCAGAGTAGCTCTACAGGAGATGCTCAAGAAAGTATTAAGCACAGAAGAACCAAAAAGAAAAAGAAAGAACATCCATGCATTTCCCAAGAATGCAGGAAAACACTGAATCAACACAACACATCTCATGACTGCAAAAATAAAAACACACACATATATCAACCCAAAAGTTAAAGAAAACAAAATAGCCTTTTAAGAGCCTCGACAGGGATAAACTCTCACATTTCAATAATCAGCCTGAATGTCAATGGATTAAATGCACCATTGAAGAACAGAATGGCAAACTGGATTTAAAAAGAAACCATGACCCAACAATATGCTGCCTCCAGGAAACACATCTCACTACAAAAGACACCCACAGTCTCAAAGTTAAAGGATGGAAAACAAACTTTCAGGCAAACAGAAAACAAAAGAAGGTCGGAGTTGTGATTTTAATGTCAGACAAAACAAGCTTCAAGCTATAGAAAATTTAAAAAGATACAGAAGGACATTGCATAATGATAAAAAGTTTCAATCCATCAACAAGAAATTGCCATCCTAAATATTACAGGTACCCAATACAGCAGCATCTGGATTTATAAAGCAACTACTAAGTAAATTAAGAAAGGACATTGATACTAACACTATCATAACTAGAAGCTTAAATATCCCACTAACAACTCTAGATAGATCATCAAAGCAAAAAATCAATAGGGAGATCTGGTACCTTAACTTGACGCTACACCAAATGAACTTAACAGATACCTACAGAACACTCCACACAACTTTGGAATATACATTTTACTC